ATAATGAAGGCTTAGGAGAAATGAATTCATCAAAATTTAGAGGTTCAAAATTCATACTTGATCTAACTTGTACTAAGCTAGATTGCTCCTCCAAAATTGAAAAGTCGTCGGACTCCACTAAGCTTTCATCATCCACCCAATATTCATTTTCTGCTAGCTGAATGAAGTTGTTATGGCAAAGATGTTCAGTCTCTTCTTCAATTACTGAGTTCAATTCAGAAATGCCTTGGCATTCTTCAGTGTCGTCAACATATTTGAGCATTCTAAAAACATTAACAGTTACACACTGATCAGCCACTCTCATGGTGAGTTCACCTTTTTCACAGTCTATCAAGATACGTCCAGTGGCTAGGAAAGGTCTTCCCAGAATGATTGGTGCCTTGGCATCAACTTCGCAGTCCAGAATTAAGAAGTCGACTGGAAACACAAACTTGTCCACCTTTACTATGACATCCTCGACTCTCCCTTCAGGTTTAACATGGGATTTGTCGGCAAGTTGTAAAATAACTGAGGTGGGTCTTGCATCGCCTATGCCAAGCTTCAAGAATATCGATTTTGGCATTAAGTTGACACTTGAACCAAGATCACATAAAGCCTTTCCAACAAAATTAGCTCCAATTGAGCAAGGAATAATGAAGCTACCCGGATCATTTCTCTTTGGTGGCAACTTACTCAATGAAGAACAAAATTCTGTTGCCGTGGCAACAGTCTCTACTTTCCTTTTCTTGGTACAGATGTCCTTCAGAAATTTGGCATACATCGGCATCTGTTCAACAGCTTCCAAGAGAGGTATATTGATATGGAGCTGATCAAGAATGTCTACGAACTTCTTGAACTGAACTTCATCATTGTGTTTCTTCAATCTTTGCGGGAAGGGTGGGGGAGGTCTAGCTTCCTTAGCTGTAGGAATAGAATTTTCTTTTGCCTTGACATCAGAATCTGGTACCTTGGCAGAATCCTCCTCCTTGTCCTTATCAGAAACTCTATCATCTTGTAATTCAGCTTCAGTAGTGGGATTATAATCATCTTGTTGTGGCCCACTATCCTTGAATTGTCGATTGATTTGTGTTCCACTCCTAAGAGTTAACACATTGCAGTGCTCTTTTCCAGGCCCTTTAGTGACTTCAGTATCACTTGACAAACGTCCATGCTGACGCTCTTGCAATGCCGTAGCAATCTGACCAACTTGACCTTCCAAAGCTCTCAGAGACGAGCTATGGCTTTGAAGTAAGGCGCCTTGACTATGAAGTAAAGCTCCTTGATTCTTAATTGAAGTAGAATGGTCTTGCAACATTGTCTTCGTAGTAGATATGAATTCTTGAATTGTAGCTTCTAAGGAACTTATGCTCGCTGAAGATGAAGCTCCTTTGTTAGCATTATGCCATGGCATAACATTTTGGTAACTTTAAGGCTCATTGTGATTCTGCTGCCTAGTAGGTTGATTAGCATTATGGGCTCCTTGATTTCCCCATGAAAAATTAGGATGCTGACGCCATCCAGCATTATAAGTGTTTGAGTAAGGATTGTTGCTGCCTCGATTGTAATTACCAACAAAGTTGATGGACTCATGGTTGGTTGGACATTCGCTCTCGTGATGATTGCCTTGGCATAACAGACATGCCAGACTAGTTGTTTTCACTTCCTTCACATCAGTGGAACATTGTAAGTTCTTCAACATATTAGTAATAGCGGAGAGTTGAGCGGACACCGAATCTTTGGCTTCTAACTCGAATGCTCCAGGTGCTCTCCTCCCACTCCCAAGTCTTGAGGAAGGAAATTGATAATCATTGTTAGCAATTCTGTCCAAGATAGCAAACGCCTCCGTAGGTGATTTATCCAGCAATGTCCCATTTGCCGAGGCATCCAGTAACATCCTCGTGGGTGCATTGACTCCATTATAGAACATGACTACTTGAGTCCAATCATGAAAACCATGATTTGAACACTTTCGAAGCAAACTCTTGTAACGATCCCAACACTCATACATGGATTCGTCGTCGCCCTGGCGAAAAGATGATATTTCATTCCTTAGCTGCGTATTCATATTCGGTGGGTTGTACCTCAATAAGAAGCTCTTGCAAAGATCTGCCCATGATTCCATCGAACCGGCTGGTACACCACTCAACCAAGCCCTTGCTCGGTCACGCAATGAATACGGAAAAAGCTTTAATTTCAGAAAATCCTCATTCACTCCTTCTTGGTGGAAAGAATCACAAACTTCCAGAAAATTGCGAATGTGCTGCCTGGCATCTTCAGTTGGCATACCCCCAAACTGCCCAATGGAATTCAACATGTTGAACATGACTGGTTTCAGCTCGAAATGTGCAGCTTGAATTTCGGGTGCCACAATCCCAGGATTCAGATTATCCAGCATCGGATTTAAATGATCTCGAATAACACGAGGCCTGATAGCAGGTTCAGCATTGTTTAATGCCTCGGCATTCTGATTTCCGTCATCTTGACCAATGCCTTGGTTTCCAATCTGATACATATTTCTTTGAGCACGTCTTCTTCTTCTAAAGAGTCTTTCAATCTCAGGTTCTATTGGTTCCAAAGGCTCTTTAGAATTTCTTCTAGGCATACACTAAATAAACCTGAAAAATAAAACAAAAATATCAAGTAAACTATACAAAAATAAAAATGCAAAACAAAATAAAATGCTCTGGCAAAACTAAATAACTTCAGGCTGCCATCCCCGGCAACGACGCCAAAAACTTGTTGCGTGTTGTGAGTACTATAAAATATACGCAAATAATGTGCAAGTATACACAATCGCTCAAGTAATATAATGATGAGTGAGTATCGTCTCCACAGGGATTGGGTGAAATCACAAAAGTCTAACCAAAGCAATGCAATATTCTATCTAAGTATAGTTAGTCTTGATATATACAAATGTCACGACAATGGATATGTGTATGCTGGTGGATGCGGATTGATGGTGTGATGGTGTAGCAAATGGAAATGCAGTGGCAATGATGGATGTTTAATATTGAGTATGATGAAATGTCAAGGCAATGAGAAATGGTAAAAACAGTAAATTAAAAAGATAAATAAAATAAGAAGAAAATAATCCTCACGTGACAAGCTTCCAATGAAATGAATGGTAAGGATTGGTCTAAGGTTGCTAAACTTATTTCTCAAGTATATCTAAGCTATCTTGTCTTTACTTACTCGACAGGGCTTTCCTAAGGTGTTCAAAAGAACCTAACAGAATAGGATGTCAAGGCATCTGCTCTCACTCAACGATGTTGGACAACCTACCCTATTGATGAAGACACCCTTTTTAGTCGTTGAAATCCTAACCTAGTCTCTTCCGAGATCTAAGGGATTAAGTTATAATATTCCTAGGCCGGTTCAAAGCCCCTTGAAAATATCATAACCCATTGCTTATGAGGATCTTATCTTGCGTTTCTTCCGAATACTTACAAGTATTTTTAGTTTAGGATTCTTCCGAATACCTAACCTTCATCTAAGAGATGGACATTTCCATGCCTCTTACAAGCTTAGATGGTGAAGCATTCATAAGCAAAGCAAATAAAGAACCAAAATAAACTTAAATATACCATTAAAAATAAAGTTTAAACAACCATTCAACCAACCACCACCAAATAAGTTAGTTCATGGTGGGGTTCGAAATATCCAAACACAAAGTCATGAAAATTCGTTCCAACAACCCACAAAATAATATAAAGAAATAACAGCAAAAAGGGAAGTGAGAAGAAGCCTTCGACGCGCCACCGGAGGTCTCCTCTCGGCCACCACGAACCACCTAGCTCGCTAGCTCCTTTCGGCGCCTAGCTTGCCACTCCTTGGAGCTTTATCAATGGAGGAATATTCCAAGGAAGAAGAAAGGAAAAAAAGAAAATAAAAATCTGATTTTTCTGCTCTATGCGTGTGCTCCCTCTCCTTTTCCTCTCCCATGAGGTGTCATATATAATAAATAAAATATCTAGGGGTAATGATGAGTTTGTTAGGTGCAAAATACCCCTCATACCCCTAGGATCACATTTTGTGCATGAACCTTATCCTCCAAGTGGCAGTGGTATATTGGCAGCTCTAGCAGGCGGTTACAGCAGTCCTCCACGTGCAGGGACAGCTGTCCAGTGCCAGCTGTCCTGATGCAGAAATATCTTTTCGTATTTTTCTGCGCCAGAAATGCCAAGGCATTTCAATCTGCTTTAGCAACGTGTGATGCCGCGGCATTACTTCCCAAAGAATCCTTTTTCTTGCTATTCCCTGCACACCATAGACAAACTGCACCTTTCCCTCAAACAGCACCATTGAGAAATAAAATAGTGCAACCACCACAAATGCAACTATATGCAACTACATGATCCTAAAATGACTAAAATGAGCTTTTAAACAAACAATAACTTAAGTGAAAAAGGCTTTAAAAGTAGCATTTTTAGGAAGTTAACACTAACCAGGAAACATACATGAAGTTCACAGTCATGCTATTTTTTTTATTTAGGTGTGGATATCTATTTGATATTATCACTTAGATGGAAGGAATCTTAGATTTAATTTTCTTTTTGATGTAGGTGAACTGGAAGAGAATGCCTGAAAGCCAAGGACTAAATTATCTTGCCCTAACAGGACCTTTGCCGGATTTGTCGTCATGGTTGGCTATGGTCCCGAATTCCCTGAGTGAAGCTGTGAAACAATGGAAGCCTTATAGGCCTTTTCATTGATAAATACCACTTTCCTTTTAGCTTCTTGTATGTTTTTAACCCTGAATCATTTCACATTTCCTAGCAAATAACTTCACACTTGAATATTCTTATTGCTCATTTGTGTCAAATATTTATGATAATGAATATGAATATTCTTTAAGTATTGCATTAAGTATCAACATATGCATATCTACAAGTTCAATAGACATGATTCTTCCTTAAAGAATACAGGTCTAAAAGGTTCATTGACATTAACCCTTTCCCTATCTTTAAACACTAACAAAGGTCAATAGGCTGCATGACCTCTCCCCAATAAGCAATCATACATTTGATCAACAAATGTTGATCTCATCCTTCACGTAGTCTGGCTCCCGACTTCCTCCGAGACTAATTTTTGTAATCGTTGTATTAATATATCGAAATCATCTTGGCTTCGAACCAGGCTGAGTCGAACATAGCGATCTTTCGAACCAAACACATTTCCTTGACGACCAATGATATTAGCTGCCTTGAGAACTGCATGACAATCATTATCTTCTTCTCTCTCACATTTTACCCATGCATAAGCTGCCATACTCATAAAGTTAGAAGACATTCTATTCTGTATGATTGTTAATAATCATAAAGTACCTGGTGAAAAGTCTCTGATTTTACAGTAAAAAATGCAGTATTGAGGATTAAATTTCTGAAGAGAGAAGCGGTTCGACAAGGATAAGGTCGTGACCAGTCTGTCCCATCTCATCTTCATTGTCCGATATCCAAAGTCGAATATTTCAGTTCCTTCTTCTAGGACTGCTTTCAAAAGCTTAAAAGCTCTTAACTGAGTGTCTTTGGAAACACCAAGGGAATTGAGTTGTATGTGTATTATCATTCTGTTGAACACAGTTTCATCCTTTATAATTGCCCACCTGTGTAAAACACAATAAATATGTTGATTGCATCATTCAATTATGCTATTCTGTTTCACAGATTGGAGCTAAATATCTACCCGAATCGGCTGCCGGCATGACCGGTAAGTTTCGAAAGCGTAAACACCATGAAATCTTCATCTGCAGGAGCTGGAATTGGTGTAAAATGAGGCCAGTAATAAGCACGATCATAGATTGTTTTTACATTAGGGCCATCAACAATCGCTTTGTTCAATTGTCCATCAGGATTATTAGGTGAAGTTACAAACTCAATCACATTTGCTGAAGTATTCCTCCATGTATGATCATCTCCTTCAAACTCGAATTTTTCCGAATCGAAATATTCCACTTGATTCTTATAGAGCTGTCAAAAATCAGTTCGGATGCAAATCAGTGACGATGATAATAACAGACACGAGTGGGGAGTACAATATAGGTGTGCAGGGTCGGGACACAGACCGAGTAGTAGGGGACGGAAGCGATGACTCGTGTAGGCGACTGTGATGAGGTGTTTTCGAGAGACAATGCATAAGCCGCCGCGTTAAGGATTTGGGTTGATCCGGCACCGAAAACAATGTATCTGTTTCGAGTGACTGCGTTACTGACGAATGCATGTAGTTTTCGGATGAGGCTTTCGAGCTGCGACGAGATCCAAGTGTTGTCATTGTAGTTGTAGCTCATTCGATGCCACCCTGATACTACCAGTGCACTACTGGTTGAATGCTGCATCCAAAATGGTTCCAGAAACAATGGATCCCCGCTGCATATCAGAGTTTGTCCATATTTTAAGCAAAGATTGGCAGCCAAGATTACAAAATTTTATGTTAAGGTTATGAATTACGAAGTTATATTAAAAATTTAAGGACATGAAATTACAAAATTTGAAGAGGTATAAAATTAAATAATCAATAGAAAATATAAAAAGAAAATATCTAAATTATATAAAAATTTAAAATTTTTAAAGAATGCGACCGCATTCGTACCGCTCTTCAATTCATCTCTGATTAGAGTCTAGTTATATTATTACAGTGCCTAAAGCTGCACTGGTATGAATGATAATTATATACTTTATATTCGATAGTAATTCCTTTTATGCAAATACATGTGAAATAGCTTAAACAATAAATAACATATTATGAATATACCGTGGAACCCACTCGGTTCAAGTGGATTCAAGCAGGAAAACCAATGAGCAAATTATCACTGGAAACAGACTCTTTCACCTTTACCATGCCATGCTGTCTTGTCTTGTCCAGAAACTATGTGGTTTATCCACTTTCATCCAATTTTATCTTCTACATGTATTTACCAGATGATGACTCAAACATCAACCCTAAATTAAAAGATTAAACTTCTCAAAAAAGCAGGGAGAAAATTAACAGGTTAGTTCAAGTAGTAAACAACTTGATATCGCTTAAGCATGTCTTGAATTCAAGATCTTATATATGCAGAAAATCTCTGTTGGGAGACTTTCTCAAGAAAAAGTCCGGATGAAAAAAGAAGAAGAAAAAGCAGGAAAAAAGAGTGTTGTGAATTGTGATCATATCATGTGTTGTTTGCAGAAGAGGGTTTACCCATCAGCGTTGGCAGTGCAATGAGGTATAAACTCAGAGCAGTTAGGCCCCGTATAACACGTATTGCATTCACAAACCGGTTCATTTCCATCACCGAGCAAGCCATCCAAGTAAGCTCTTCCATGCCCCGAACAGCCAATTTCCGCCACCGCTTCGGCTTCGGCCGCTGCTCTCGAGCTCCAATTCAGGAGGAGGGACGCCCATTCACCTCCCACAAAAGTGTTGGCGATAAGAAACAGGTTGAGAAGTACAGAAAACAGCATCCATGAAGGGTATTTGGAGCTCAACAACACTTGCTTCACCATTCCTTTGTTTTCTTTTTAGGCTACCGGTCTTCTTGGAGAATCTCCTTTCTTTTTTTGTTATTATATAATTATTGCTGTAGGCCATGTTGATGTAACCGCCATACATTTGCAAGTGGATAATGGCTTTTCCATTCCACCAATGGGATAGCTCTTTAGATACAAAAGAGCAATTCATACATTCCAAGTATTTTTTATTGAAGTTATTTGTTTCATCCGAAAAATGAATTCTGGAAAATGTTTTTCCTTGTGCAAATCAATATTTTCAATAAGAAAAACATCGTAAATTTCTATGTTATTTCAAGAAAATTTTATCGTTGAGCTAAAAAAACGATTCACTTTTAATGAAAATAGCGTATACGTTCACTTGTAAGGAATAATAACATACACATGTCGCTGGAAATGAGCACCTAAGTTTGTAGCATTTAGTTTTTCAGTAGAAGTGCACATTTTCAATAAATTTCTTTTAGTATAATAAAATAATTACTTTCCAACGTTATCATAAATATCATTTTATTATATATATATATTTTTAGAGTATTTTAACCTTAAACATTTTAATCTTTAATCAAACTAGAAATTTTTATTGGATGAAAATCATTAATTGGCTAACAATCAATCCATGTTGTTGACGTCACATTTTTTTTTTTGCTTATATTCAATTATTGAAATGATATGTAACACGTCACTCAAAGTAATAATGTGGCATGTGTCACGTTACTAAAGTGAGGAACATATTCTACATCGACAATTGAATATTTGTGACATTAATAACATATGTTGATCGTTTTTCAACTAAGGGTTTCCATCCAACATAATCTGTTTTGACATCGAAATGTTGGAGGCTAAGATACTCCCTTAAACGAATAATGAACAAAATAATCATTTATGAAATTTAGGGTGATTTTATGATCATATAGAAGACAGAAGGGAAGATGGTAAATGTATGTTATTATTTATTTTATAATTTTTTAAAAAAATATTATCTGACCGGATCGGTTACCCAGCCAGACATTTCTCGGGTCGGATCCGGGTCACAAAATTAGTTTTTTTCGGGTAAGTGGTTACCCGAGTATCCAGTTAGGTTTGTATATATATATATAATTATTAATAAATTTATGTTTGGATATTGGAGTATGTAATTTGAACATTTAAATTTGTGTATGTTTTTTAAATTAATAATTTAAAAATGATAAAAAAACGAGTATCCGAGTATCTAAATTACGGGTACTCGTAACATTCAGGTCGAGACACAGACCGAGAAATCAACTACTCGAAAACTCAGGTACCCAAAACTCAAATACCCGAATTTAAACACCCCTAGTTTAAACAAGGAAGGCAAATAAATTAATATTATATATTTATGGTTAATGATGAACCATGAAGTTTAAGCACACAAATGGAGACAAACTTCCTACAGGCCTATCTTCTTCAATTATGCATGTCACTGCCTAGCTCACCATGAAAGAGAAAGAAAAGTACTAGTGCTTAATATATCATCACTCATCTCTAAGTTATATATATATGATAATGTTGAGATAAATATATTATTTAAAAAGTCTTATATTATAAACAAGTATTTAAAATATATCATCTTTTTTGTTTAAGTATTTAAAGTATTTTTTTAGTTAAAATAAGTATTTAAACTATTTTTAGTCAAATAGATATCTAAATTATTCATTCTTTTTCATATAAGTTTTAAAAAGTTAACAAGTAACATTAATTAAGAAATACTTTAAGTACTTAAACAAAAAAAAGATAGTATACTTTAGGTATCTATTTTAACTAAAAAAATATTTTAGATCACTGTAGGCCAAAGATAAAAGATATGGTCGTCTTTTGTATTTGATCCAATTTAAGTCGTAAGGGCAAGCCGTTGGTGTTTGCTGGTATCATGCTTCCTAAAACTTCTTTACTTTTCGGTACTTGAAAATTTTCAAAATCGAATGATCGAAAATCGAGTGTTTCATTAAATAAAAATTTTGAAGTGTGAACCCATTGGTTATGGTTAGTTAATTATCGAATTAACTTCTCTAGGAATTGATTATGAGGTAATCAAATTTTTTGAATTAGCGTTGGTGCGATTGAATTGGTAATGAAATAGAATTGATGAAAATTGGGGGTCCTTAACGGATAATTGGAACAATATAGAAAAGAGTGGGATGTGTTGGAACCAGTTTCCACCCTTGATTTCCCTTAATATTTTGATGGTCTAATGTTAGCCCTTGATATTGTAATTAAGGGGATTAATACCTCCTTAAATAATGCACGGAACCTCCAATTAGAAGGAACGAGAGATCAAAACTTAATCAATAAATAAATGGTACAGTGAGATGAGACATTAATTTTTTTTAAGTAAAGTTAGAAATTCAAATTATGGCGACTGCAAATACATTCAATTGAGTTGAGAAAATCGTCCTTATAATAAACCTCTTCGAAACTTGATTTGAATTAATCTATTGAGCCACAATCAATGATCCATGGTAGAATTACATGCGATGAATGTCAAATGGTTTGTGAAAAACGAGGGAGTGTACTCAAGAAAGAATGGTTTGTGAAAAACGAGGGAGTGTACTCAAGAAAGTTTAAAAAACATTCATTCAATTTTTGTTGATGGACTTTATAGCAACTTTTAGTATTGGTGGTGTTAAATACATAATAATTATGGTTATTTGTAATTTGTATGTTAAATAGATATGATTGTATAATAATATATTTGACTCTTGACAAATCACGTGGACCTGCCAATAGTCATTTCAGGAAAAAATGATTGGTCGATGAGTATGAAACTTCAAAGTTTATGATCAACGAAGGGAAAACTTTTTGAGGCCTCCTCTTACACTAAAAACTTCGATTTTCGACAGAATTGTTTGCGGGAGAAGTTCGGAGAAAATATATCACTAAATTTGTTTATATTCGTTAAAATTTAAGATTATATTTATTTTATATTAAAATTATGGATTCATGTTTGTTTATTTAATATTTATGAAAACAAACTGTTTAGTATTCATTTGATATATTTGTAAATATTAAAGAAATATAAATTTATTCATGAATAAAAAATAAATAAATCGTAAATAAATGTTATTTTTTTAAAGTCGTGGGTGTAATAAATAAAATCCAGTTTTTGTTAAACTCATTTATTTCGTGGTGAATGAAGCTTTATGACAGCCCAAGTAGGTTTAGCTTAAGCCCAGTCTGGAGCGTAATTTCGGATAAAACAATGCCCTTCCTCTTTTCTGGTGAATCATTCCTGCAAAAATCACCGTGATTCTCTATTACACTCTCATCACTCTCTTTTGTGGGAAACTCCTCTCTAATCTCCTCCAGGTAGGTCCCTTCAATTCTCTTACCTCTCTTGTTTTTCTTCGTCGGATCCGATCAATTCGGCTAAAGAAGGTAATCATGGCTTGAACCTTATCAAATATAGTCTTTAGGATGGTTGCTTCTTTCTTTTCATTTGTTTTCTTAGTTTCTTGATTGTTCGCTGTACCGGTTGAAGAAATTTTTGACAGTGTGAGATTTGCAGAATTAAAAGAGCGAAATTGAAAAGGAAACCCCTTTTCTTTTCCTCTGTCTTCTTGAACTTTGTTTGGATAGATTTCTGATTAGGGAATATGTATTGTCTTTAATTGTTGATCATTTTTCTTGGTATTATTCAACGACGGTGTTATGGAATTGAGGGCGGTTCAGTATTGCTGACTGCTGATGACAGTGAAAAGTGATCTCTAATCCAATAATAATCAATTTACTTTTTTTTGTATTTCATTTACTGACGTAGTTAATATTAATAAAAATGGCTTAAAAGGGGGGGGGGAGATGATAATTTCATTCTTTATTGCTTCTAGATCAAAACCAAATAACATTGCTGGATCTTGTTATTGTGTGTTGTATTATGGATCAACTGATGGTTGTAGTGGTTGATATCTTAGGAATTTGCTTGTATCCTTTAAGTGAAAAATAAAATTGAAGGAATGAAAATCATATTGTTCTTAGAAGCCATTAATAATGTTCACTTCGCAGATTGCTATCCGTTATGCTGAAAAAAATAGTAACTAATTTGAAGAGTCTGTGAGTGGGTGTTTTCTTTTCAGATTTTCTTGAAGAGAAGGCAATGTCAACTGGAAGAATACCCATTGGTGTTATAGATGCAGGCGGCCAGTTCACCTTCGAGGGCGTGATGCAGTTTGCTGCTATTGTGGTGGGGGATTTGTTCAAGAATTAGACGATATGATGAATATTGGTCCTATGGATTTTTTTGGTGATGAAGATCGAGGCCAGAGGTTTGGTCTCCTGGATGCTTTTCAGTCTTCATGAGGCAGCATTGGCCGATAGAAATTTTAACCATAATGTCAGGGGAAGAGTAGCTTCAGTTCCTGAGCATGATGCAGCACTTGGTCCTTTGTTGATTTTTGGTGATCAAATTCCTTTTAGATTGTCTGGGCTGGTGGGATTGAAGCCCTTTTCAACGGGGTTCCTGGAATTGGTTTTAGACAAGGAAATGCTGGAAATTATTATATAGGCCCTGGATTAGAAGAACTGTTTGAACAGCTCTCGGCTAATGATCGGAGGGGGCCTCCCCCGGCATCCCAGTCTTCGATTGATGCAATGCCCACTGTTAAGATAACTAGGAGGCATCTTCATTCTGATTTGCAGTGCCCTGTTTGCAAAGATAAATTCGAACTGGGGTCTGAAGCAAGACAAATGCCATGCAATCATATGTATCATTCAGATTGCATCATACCATGGCTGGAGCAGCACAACTCTTGTCCTGTTTGTCGACAAGAATTGCCACCTCAAGGATCAGGCAGGAACCGCTCAAATGGTCAGAGTGGAACTACTTCCAGTGGAAGGGAGAGCAGACGGAATCCATGGTCTTACATCTGGCCATTCCGTTCATCGAATTCTAGCTCAAGCTCTAACCATAGCCACAATGAAGGTGGTGGAAGCAGCCCTTCTGGTGTGCATGAGAACAATCATTATCATTCGATGGGCTATAGTGGATGGCCTTTTGACTGATCATGTAGGTTTCTTTTCTT